CCAAAGGCAATGCTATCCCACCTGATATGCAAACTCGACACAATAATAGTTGCTAATAATTTTGCAAAAAATGAGTTGCAATGACCAATCCATTGGCAAAAACCACCAAGAAACTAAACATGGTAATCCCTAAAAACTCCTCCACATAAATTATAAATTAAGTGTGATGAGAATATAAGAATCTAATTAGTAAGGTGATTGGTGAGTTACATTTTCGATTTGTATAACCATCAATGTTTGTATAATGATTTCATTGTTATGTGATTTTCAGTTAAAGACTAATTTTGTTTTCCTATCATGTTCACTTAGTGGTGTTATGCTAGAGTTGGAAGGCACTATAGGGGTAGAATTGCAATCTTCTTGACATGGAAAGGTAGTCTCCGTGCAACCACTCTAACCAAATACTTTACTAATGCTTTTCAACTATTACTATAATATTTGTGATATATTTTTTGACGTCTTTTAGATTTGTTTACCTTACCAATGCAACAATTAAGGTGTTACAAATTTGAGGACGAAATTTATTTGAAAGAGGGTACATTGTAATACCCCGTATTAAAAAAAAAAAATTATATATATATAAATGTGTGTGTGTGTGTGTCTAAGTAATTATTTTTATTTCAAATGTAATGACTTTATTGGATTTCTTTATATACGTTATGAGTACAAAAAAAACCTCGTATTTTTCTCATGTAAGTTAGTAGGAATTTTTCACTACAAGAATAAATTAAAGCTGGCTAGTACTTTTAGGGCCCGTTTGTTTGATAGGATTAAGGAGGACTGGACTGGACTGGACTATAGTCCCTTGTTTGGTCTGCTGCAGGATTTGGTTTAATGGGATTAGGTGGGATTCGCTCGGATTAAAGACCTCCTTACGAGGTCTTAAGCAGGATCCCCAAAATTGGGCGGACTCGTAAGCCCAGAGAAAATCGCGAGGGTGGCTTCCTGCTCGTCCTCCTTGCCGTCACTCATCGTCGTCTTCCCTCATCGTCATCTTGCCCTCGCTCATCGTCGTCTTCCTCACCCTCATCTCTGCGTCTTCCTCATCTGCATCTGCTCGCCCTCATCTGCTCCGAGTTGTCAGGTAAACTTCGAATCTTCGATTTATTTCGTCATTTGTTTTGCAGATCGTGATATTACTGAACTTTATTTGATTTGTTGTTTTGGGTTTGAGAAATTTTGAATCCTAGACCTCTGCACTTGAACAAATTAGGGTTTTGATTTTTAGGTCAAATTGAGATTGATTAGAGCATCTGAACTTCACTAAAATTCACTGTCAATCTGCAACCTTGGTAGAAGTAGCCTGCTTAGCATGTTGGGTATGTTGATTATGATGTTGTTAGGATTCGGAAGTACATTGGCTTTTGTGGGTTTTATTTGGCTTAAGAAATGGTTATCGGCTTGGTAAATGGTTATCTGCAACCTTGGTAAATGGTTGTCGGGGCTTAAGAAATCATATGTGGGTTTTATTTGGATTAAATCCTATTTTAGGAGTTTGCTGCTGCAAAAGCAGATGTAAGTGAGATGAAACATGAAACTGGGTTTGGCAGTTGAGAATTGAGCTGAGAAAATGGGGTAGTGTTTCACTTCATCATCCTTTTGTGTTCAATCTGATGTTGTTAGGATTCGGAAGTACATTGGCTTTTGTGTTTTGGTAGTTATAATGCTTTGATTTGTTCGCTTTAATTTTGGATTTCCATATGAATGTTCATCTGTTGAATGCAAATTATGTTACTTTTGGTAAATGGTTATTGGCTTAAGAAATCAAACTGGCTTAAGGATCAACTTTGTTGTTATAAAATTGCCTTTGCTAGGTAACTCGTGTATACAACTTACAAGTACTCCTATATTAATTTGTTTAGTGAATATGATAAATTGTTGTATATTTACCAAAACCAGCAAAAAATGCCCAATTAGATTCAAAGAAATCCAGCCTTTTTTCAAGACGAACTTCAGAAAAATTCCATTTGTACCTAAAAGAGTTCAAAAGGAGCATTAGCACACACTTATCTAGGAAATTAGATTAAGCCAAAAAGGTATATGCACCACGTACTCGAAACAGTAATAGGCATACATCCAGGACAGAAGCAGAAAATTTACTGCCTTCCCCACATATGGTATATATCCAGTCACATATACCTGCAGAAGCCATCGATTCTGTCATCCAAAAAGTGGCACATAAGCCATGGAGCATATTGCAATTTGAATATAAACTCCTCTCTCTCTATCGTTCTCTAAGTCTAATAAGTATGAAAACTAAATCCTGTTCCTCCCTTTATGAATCCATACACCCAAATAAATAAAGAATAAAAGATATCTATACCTCTAGGAAGAAACAGGTCAAAAGAAGTACTGAATACACCTGCTCTCCTATACCAATCATGACCCTGCAGATTAAACAGATGCATACACAACTCATGAGATACATAAATATCTATTCAACAAGAAATGTCTGAAATAATAAATATATAAAACAATAACAATAATAAAAACCTTAAGCTCTATTTAAGAATAAGTTAATTACCCTTCTACGCCAGCAGGTCTTTCCAAACCAACATCATTTTGTCTGACAGGATCCAATGTGGTTGGCGTGGATCTCCCCATTGCAGAAAATCCATACTTAGCAATGTCATTGTACCTTTAGTTAAAATAAAATTGTAGATTTGGATAATCACATAGTAGAAATTGGAAAAAGAAAGACATCGGGAAGTGGAAATGTCAAGACATGCAGAACTTTAAACAAAATATCATATATTAAAAACTATTGTCACTCCAATCAGAACTTTAAACATTCTGCATTGCAAGAAATAGATGTATACCTTACCTGTGCTCAGTTCATACCTATGGTAATTAAAACAGAATCAAGTAAATAACGTAGCCGAAAACAATTAAGCAAAAGGGGATAATTTGGTAGTACCAGAGGTTGCTCAGGATAATGCTGAATATGTACAGTGGGTAGAACCAAGTTACCTGCAAAGCAAAAATAAATAAATGAAAATTATGTATTCCGTGAATTGAGAAAGGAATTGAATCCCTTCAGTAATTCAGGCATCTATAGTGATAAAGAAATATTTTGTAAGATAACAAACAAACCAAGATTACATACCAGTACAATAATCAGAAACAAGAGAATTAAACATCCAATATTACATGACACATACACTTTCTTTAGCCATATCACGAAGATTACAAAACTTAATGAGGCAAAACATTACACAAAAAATGCATATTCATCCATTTTGCCACTAAGAAATATTCAATAGAATGCCATCCATGCACAAAGTGAGGATCTTAAATTGGCTGCATACTTACATAAAAGAGTTGTACGAGTCCATGCCGCAAGACGGAATAAAATTTCAATGTACCAACAAATGAGCAGAGCTCTTGAGAACTATATTCTGGGCATCTATCAGGTAATATCCAGTGTAGAGTTGGGATGATGACTGAGTTAAGGATAATTATACTGCAAAGAGACAGAATAAGGAATTTGAATGTCAATACAGCATGCAGATTTAGAATGCACTTTGTCCAGCAAAACACTGAAAGCACTTTTATATGTAGCTTCTACGTTATGTGATGTCTATGTAGAGGTAATACTGGGAAATGGAAACTAAGATAACCAGATATAAGCATCTATAAGCATCTAAAAGCTATTATCGATTTTATATTACATATTCATCCATGATTCGTACAATATCAGTACTTGCACACATTCTTTCTTTCACATCGGAGTAAGTTAAGCTTTTGAGAACAGCATGTCATTGAAAACTCATGTTCAGGTAACGTTGCAAGGTGGTGTCCAAACCAGGTTGAACTAAAATTTGTGGTCAGGAGCTGTATCTTTGTCCATTTGTTTTCACCTATGAGGAAATGTATCTGATATTTTGAACATTTCTGAATCTATCAGTGGCTATGATTTATGCATTGTTGGAAGAGATGTTTCTCTTAGTCTAGTTGTGCAACTTCCTTTACTGATATTTGGAAAATGTCTTGAGTTTGAATCTTCATCCCTAGTTTAAAACTGCTCGAATCTTCTGCTTCATATTATCTGACAGCTCTCATTCAGATTTGTTTGACATGTTTTGTTTGAACCTCTCATTCAGATTTTTCGTACATATTTTTTAAAACCCTCTTCTCTACACCCCGAGTTGTATTTTAAACTAAAACACTGCACGATTGATTAGTTCAAGTGCAACTTGTCATTTCCCTACCTATTTTTCCATGATTTCTGTTTTTCTAGGTATAAGTATACCTAGAAATTTTGTACTTGTTTCAGTTTGCTTTTGATATTTGCGGTAATGTTGTTTTATCAGCTGATATAGCATAGTTGGATTATATTATTTGGTTTGTTCTTTGTGCCAGATGGAAAGCATGCAGTAGCATAATGTCCTTAATATTTTTTTCCTTTTTTTTTTTGTTTGGATAGATATGGATCGAAGGAAGCTTTTATTGATCTTATTGTTAGAGAAGTCTCATTTAGAGACGATTTGCATTTGTACGATTCTTGTGTTGCTGATGCTAAAGGCAAAACAGAGACATGTTGAACGACGCACCTTGACTAACCGTTCACTTGTTAGACGAGAGATTAGTTTGTGTTATCTGAATGGTATAATCGGGAATACTGATGTTGAATGTGTCAACGAATTGAGAATGGATAGAAGGACTTTTGGCATATTATGTGACTTACTTCGTCAAGATGGGAGGGTAAAAACGGATGGTTTGGTCTCTGTAGAGGAGCAGGTGTGTATGACTTTACAAATACTAGCACATCATACTAAGATTCGTAGTGTTGGTGGTAGATTTTATAGGTCGGGAGAGACTATAAGTAGGTATTTCAATAGTGTATTGCAAGGAATTTTGCGATTACAAGGTATCCTACTAAAAGTCCCTCAACCTGTGCCTATTGATTCTACAGGTCCTAGGTGGCGATGTTTTAAGGTATGTTGATAATTATTTTCATTTTCCCTAAGCTTTAACTCTTCATTCCCTTTGTATAAATTAACAAAAGCTTAATTTTTTTTTAGAATTGCTTGGGAGCATTAGATGGAACACACATTGATGTGCATGTACCTGAAATTGACAAACCAAGATACCGAACTAGAAAGGGTCGAGTCGCAACTAATGTATTAGGTGTGTGTTCAGGAGATATGCAGTTCATATATGTGTTTCCGGGGTGGGAGGGTTCCGCATCAGACTCTAGAGTGCTACATGATGCAATTACTAGGCCTAATGGTTTTAAGGTACCAACGGGTAAGATTATTAGTTAGTCTCAACTTTGTAAGTTAGGTCTAGTTTTGTTTGTGAACTACAAAATACTAATATAAGGTCTTTTTTTTTATTAGGTTATTATTACCTTGTAGATGGTGGTTATACAAATGGTGAAGGATTCCTTGCACCCTATAGAGGAATACCTTATCATTTATCTGAATGGGAAGGACGAACACCTTCTAATAAGGAAGAATATTTTAACATGAAGCATTCTAAGGCAAGGAATGTAATTGAACGTTGTTTTGGCTTGCTAAAAGGAAGGTGGGGGATACTAAGGAGTCCATCTTTCTATCCGATAAGGACACAAGGTCGAATAATTACCGCTTGTTGCCTACTACACAATCTTATTAGGCAAGAGATGTCTGTAGATCCAATGGAGAATGTGCCAATAATAGAAGATGGACAAAATACAGAAGAAGGTGAATATGTTGGTAGTGTTGAAACATCTGACCAGTGGACTGCAAAGAGGAATGCCATGGCTCAGGAAATGTATAATGAGTGGAGAGCAATTAGGAACCAGCAACCGAACTAGCTATATGTGTTAATGATAAGATTTTATTTTAGTTTTCCTTTTTATCATGCATATGTTGGATATTATTAAAATGATTGGATATTATGCAAATTGATTGGATATTATGCAAATTGATTGGATATTATGCAAATTGATTCTTTGTATTGTATTTTAGTACATTCAAATATTTTTTGTTTAGGTATGGATAACCACAATAATTTGAATGCTTCTCAAGAGCCAAAGGAAGAAGGTGTAAATGGGAAGCATTTGAGGAAGAAGTATTACTATCCGTTCTTGAGGATTTTGTTGCTCGGAAGCAACGATGTGACACAGGTGCTTTCAAACAAGGTACTTTGATTGAAATAGCGAAAGCTGTCAATGTTTTATGTCCTAATTCAAATATAAAGGCAACTCCACATATTGAGTCAAAGTTGAAGAAATGGAAAAAAACATATAGTTTGGTCCTTGACATGATAAACACAAGTGGATTTGCATGGAATGATGTCAAAAAGTGCGTTGAAGTTGACAGTGATGACGCATGGCTTTCTTATGTGCAGGTTCATATCCTATTTTATTTATACATTAATTATATTCTTACTGCTATATTTGTTATGCATGCTAAATTTTAGTTTTGCTATGTTCATATAATTTTAGAAAAATAAAGAAGCTGATGGATGGAGAAGCAAACCTTTTCCACTGTACGATAGATTTGCATATATATTTGGAAAAGATCGGGCTACGGGTAATGTAGCCGAAACCCCTGCTGAAATGATGGAGGAACAAAGTCATGATCAGGTTGGTGCAAGTGATATTGGAGGTGAAAATGTTGTATCTTCAATGAACCAACAAAGCCAACAAAGCACCCCGTCTGAAAATAGCCAAAGAAAGAGGAAAAGAGCTATGGGAAATTCAAGTGATGGAACCGAGGCAATTATTAGTGGACTGAAAGAATTTTATGTTGAAAGTGGGAAGAGGATGCAAATGGTAACTGAAGCTTTAGTTCAAGGTACTGCAAATCATACTGACATAGCTAACGAACTTGAAGCAATGGGTCTTTCTCCTATGGATCAAATTGATGCATTGACTCTTATTTTGGAAAAACCACAAAATGTGGGAGTGTTCAGGGCAATCAATTCGGGACTCAAGAAAGTGTTCGTCCAAAGGCTTTTAAGCGACAAAGCAAGCGGATGAGTATATTATGTGGTGCCCTTAGACATGGATGTATTTTATTAATCGTACAATCTTAGGTTATGGCTTCTAACTTAGCTTTGCACTATGACGTATTTTGGCTAATGTTAACTAGGATTTTGTAAAGTATGGAGATCTACTTTGGAATGCTATACTATAGTTAACTGGCATTTTGTAAAATATCCTGGATGAAAATGTAGTGAATGATGTATTTGTCGGACTAAGAAATCCTTGGATCAAGTTATGTTGATATAAGTATTTGATGGCTAATGACGTTTAATGTGTGATAAGAAGACAAATTAAATCAACTTTTAAGGGCAAGTTGTGGATTGATTACAATAACAATTCAAGAGATTAAACTCAGGGCAATGTGCCCAAATATTTGTAGTAATTTGTAAGATTGTTACTCCCATTTCAATTTCAATGCTGCTACACCTATGCCAACCCCAATTCCAATTCCAAACCCTCCAATTTTTAGGGCGTTGGACACATGTATTGGAGCTATTAAAATAGAACAATAATGTAACCTAGTCTAAGCAAACACAAATATGGTGAATAATCCTGTTTTCATTATCCTGCTTCTTAGTCCGACACTGCACCAAACGCTTCACTAAGTTAGTCCAGCTTAGTCTAGTCTAAGCCAGTCCAACTTAGTCCCTGCAGCTAGTCCAGTCCGAGACAGTCCGGTGCAACAAACGCACTTAAGGTTTTGCGGACATATAATGACGTTGCGAGTATGTAAGATTGAGTCAATGTGGTAAACACCTGTTTCTTTTTATCTGAAAAATCTTATATGATAAAATAGATTGCATTTCAGACTTTCCATTGGCTCAAGACAGAAAAAATATTAAGATTCTGGATTGATTATGGTTCTTCAAATTCAGTTCGGCGTCACTAATATTTCCTAACAGTTATAATTATAAGGTTTATATTAAGTGAAGGATCAATGTAACAGTTTTTGGAATAACCTGAAATTTAAGTATGAAGAACTTTAATATGTCTCATATTAACCCGTGAAGTTTCGTTGTGATGCACTATGTGGATTGTTTATTTCATTTTTTAAAAATGATATATCTAGGCAAGAGTCAAGTTTAACGGGATTGGTTATATGGGCAACTAAGGATTGTAACGCAGTCAAAGGGAAAAAGAGCGTCCCGCACCAATAAAATTACATAGTTAGCTATCCTTTATCAGGAGGTTCAAAATTACATCTGGAGGTTCCTCAAACCAAATTCATTTGTGATCGAAGGTAAGACCCCATTGCGCCAATCTGTGAGCAACCTTGTTTGCCTCTCTAGGAGCATGTCTTACTCTGACCTGTGGAATAGACCTTAAGGAAAATCTTGCCTCATTAACTATACATTGCCCCACAATGAAGTATTATCCTCGGCCTGCAAGTTTAAAGCAGCAAGGACCAAAGCAGCATCACCCCTAGCTGCTCCTTTTGCATATCTTTCACCAGCGCGATGGCTGCACGTGCTGCCTCCAATTCTGCCAACCATGGTGAAGCTATATCGTCTAGATGCATCGCTAATGCAGCCAAAAATCTTCCCTCGTCACTCCTAAATACTACTCCAATTCCTCCCTTGTTATCCTTATCCTTCCATGTCCCATCAAAATTACATTTGATCCAACCCACCTCCCGTTTCTTCCATTTTTCTACAACCCCCATTTGTGTGCTGCTTTTGATTTGTTGCCCATGCCATTTTTTATATTCTGCCAACCAAGCTTGAGCATTATAATTGATATCCAGTGGGTGCCTTGTCGAGCCTTGCCACACTAACGCGTTCCTTTCCTTCTAGATATGCCATATCGTCATTAGTATGAGATCGAAATTGTCTCATGCCAAAGATCGTGCCAAACTTGCAATCCAATCCACCCATGCAATATTTCTGGCTTCGTGAACTCGAAAGCCCAACGGACTAGAGAACCAAATGCTTGCCGCCATTGTACAATGCCCGCAACACATGCTCAATCGTTTCTCCTCTACCACTGCACAAACTACAAGAGGCGTCTTGAAGGATTTTTCTCCCGATCAGGTTGTCTTTCGTGGGCATTGCATTCATACAGCTCCTCCATACACAGATTTTTATTTTTCCTGTCACACACGCTCTCCACAGTGCCTTCCACAAAAATTTAATCTCATTTTCCATCGACGATCCGCTCGCAACCCGTGCACTCTCCTCTCCACACGAACGTGCCAAATGATATGCACTCTTGGTGGAGAACTTACCATTCTTTTCCGCATGCCAAATGAGCACATCCAGTGGTTTAAGAGAACTAAGTGGGATGCTACAAATTAAGTGGACTTCCTCTCCCAAAAGATATCACATAAAAGAGCCATGTCTCAAGAAATACCTCTTTCGTCAAAAAGCAGGTTGTTTACCGTAAAAGAGTTTATCAAGGTGGTTGTTCAAGCCATCCCTGCATACCCTATGAACATTTTTAGATTTCCAGATACTCTTTGCCAGGAGATTGACTTTGCGGTGGCACGGTTCTGGTGGGGTCAAAAGGAGGGGGAGCAGAAGATCCGTTGGGTGAAATGGGAGACATTGGGAGTGGGTAAAAGTGATGGCGGCATGGGTTTCAAGTCCCTTGGTTAGTTTAACTTGGCTCTCCTTCACAAGCAATGTTGGAGACACAGCAATGAGCCCAACTCACTCTGGGCTCAAGTTCTCAAGGGAAGATATTTTCCTAATTGCTCGTTCTTGGAAGCAAAACGTGGGAGTCGGGCATCTTGGGCTTGGGTTAGTCTCTTGGCAGGAAGAGAGATCATTATCGCTGGATCTCATTGGCAGATTATGAGTGGGGACCAAACGATATTGTGGGTGGATCGATGGATCCCGCCACTTACCCCAGGCCACCCAACCCCCCTGTTGGGCGCAAATACTGATTGTAATCAACTGGTCTCCACCGTCATTTGCCAAACTCTCGCTGCTGGTAGATCAACTCCATTAGGGGTGGTATCTCGAAAGGTGACCGAGCGGCGATTCTGGATACTCCTATCGGGGATGGTGCTAGGAGGGATAGGCTTATCTGCGCAGCGGATTGGCGAGGGCGGTATGCGGCCTCTGGCGGGTTTTGAGTAGGGTAACTACCACAAAGCTCGAATCCCATCTTCATCTGTGTGGTTTCTGAACAAAGACGGGCTACCTTGCCCTCCTAGTTAGCGTTTTGTAGATCGTAAGCGATTGGCGTGAATGTGTTTCGTGCCTTTGTACCTTTCTTACTTCCAGTTATTTTACTATGTTTCTACCTTGCCCCCACACATTCCCACCCCCCCCCCCCCCCCCCCCCCCACGGCACCACACCTTTATACTATTGCCATCCCCCACACGCCATATCGCCCCCTTTCGGGTATAACCTTCCGAGCCTCCACAATGCTCCTCCAGCAAAAAGATCCATTTGTTTTCATAGGGGCACTCATGACATCCGTCTTCAGGTAGTACTTGGCTTTGAATAACTAAGCCACTAGTGAATCCGGCTGTTGAAGTAGTCTCCATCCTTGCTTTGCCAATAAAGACAAATTAAAAGCATACAAATCTTTGAACCCCAAACCTCCCTCACTTTCCGTTTTACATAATTTTTGCCAACTAATCCAATGAATCTTTCGCCTCCCTTGGTTTCGGCCCCACCAAAATTGGACAACCGTTTGGTTCAACTCATTACAAAATGTTTTAGGCAAAAGAAAAGTATGCATAGTGTACAGTGGTATTGCTTGTGCCACTGTCTTAACAACAACTCCTTGCCCGCACTGCTCAACAAGTTGCCCCGCAATCCATTCCATTTTTTCCATAGGCGATCCTTTATGTAAGCGAATGTAGCCTTCTTTGCTTTCCCCACGAAAACCGATAAACCCAAATAGCAGTCATGGTATGCAACTCGAGACACGCTTAGAAAATCGGCAAGTACTTTCCCATCAATCTCCATGAGATTTCCACTGAACGCTACGCAACTCTTTTCATAGTTGATTGCTTGGCCCGAATTCATAAATCTTGTGCAACGCCTTGACCCTTTGAC